GTCCACCATTTACCTAAACACTCCCTTGGCCATACTCCTTTCTCATTTGCCTCAAATTCTCCTCTGTTGGTCCATGTCTTCCTACTCCCTCAGGTGCCAGTTGCTCTTAGGAGTTCCAACTCCCCTTTTCTCAAGGCAGGACAGGTACCAAATTTTCAAGCACCAAACTCCTGCAGATGACATCCAGCATATGGTCTCCATGCCTTCACAGAACATCTCTCTTGACCCACAGGAACATTCATTAATGGAACCCTCTCTCCTATTCCCCTGCTGGCTCTTCTGATCCTGAGAGACCACAGGGATCACCTTCCCCTCATTTTACTCCGGCATATTATACACTCCCTTCTATTTGACCTATAATTCTACAACAATTGCACTCTCTAAGGTTATCAAAGGTGTCTTGACAGCTAGATCCAACAACCTCTTTTTAGTTCTCATCCTACTTGACTTCTTCATAGCTTTTGATACTATCAGCCACCCACTCCTTAGATACTCACTACTTGGCTTTCATGACACTATTCTCTTCTGATTCTCCTTCTAAGTAACTCCTTTTCCCAGTCTTCTTTGCTAGATCATCATTCCATCTCCTACCCTTCAACATGGTTGTACTCCAAGTCTCTGTGATCGGCCTACTTCTCTATATGTTTCTGGATGATCCCATTAGCTCCCATGGGGAGCATCTGTATATGGATTTTTCCTAAGTCTATATATACAGCACTGACTTCTATCTTGGACACCAGTCCAATGAATGACAGATGGCCATCTCCGACTGGATGATTCTCATCTCAAACTCAGAAAGGCCAGTTTGGAGCTTATTATCTTGAGTGACATGGTCAGAGTAATGTCTTAGGAAGATTAATTTAGTAGGAGTACAGATGATAGATTGGACAGGGAACTGAAAACAGATCACACTTCCTTCAGATCCCCTATCTCTGGTGTGGCATCACCATCCCTGCAATAACTCAGATTCACAACCTTCAATCATTCCCACATCTATCTTCCTCATTCTCCATATCCAATCAGCTGCCCCTATCTTAATGATTCTAACTCCACATTTCTTGCATCTACTCTTTTTTCCTCCATTCATAAAGTAACTATCCTAGGTCAGGATCTCTGAACTAGAACTAGTACATTAGTCTTCTCACTTAGACTATTGGAAATCAATCTATTGATTTCCCTGCTTCCAGTAAATCCCCTCTTCAAGTGATCATTCACACAGCTGCCACTTCACTTGACAGTTCTGACCATGTCATATTCCTGCTCATAAAATCTTCCTTTTTATTTAAGCCTGGGAGATTAGGAAGTTTGATAGAGATATGTAAATGCTTTTGGGAAAAGAGGTTTCTCCAATTTGTTAAATAAATAATATTTAGCAAACTGGATTTGAGCTAATTGATTAATGGGATATTGAAATTTTGGTAATAATAAGGAAATATTCAAACATACTTCCAGATTACTGTAGACCCCTGGATGATGAGAATTACTATGGTAATTAATCCAATAGCCGGCTCAAGGGCAACCATCCCATGTAGGCTATCAGAAAGTGTGTGGTCAACTCCCAAATCTTCCTAGTTATGAGAGACTTATGTTTAGGATTTTAAAAAAATATATTGTAGTCCTTTCTTTCTCATAAGTATTTTCTCTTCTCCCCAAGCCCCCCCAGGCAATGGGGTTAAGTGACTTGCCCAGGATCACACAGCTAATAAACGTCAAGTGTCCGAAGCCAGATTTGAACTCAGGTCCTCCTAACTCCAGGGCCAGTGCTCTGTCCACTGTGCCACCTAGCTGCCTCCCATAAGTATTTTCTAATAGAATAATAAATGCAGTGACAGACAGAGCTGCTGTGGGTTAATAAAATTAAATTGCCTGTTTTACATGTGATATATATTAATTGTATTTTTTGCTTATTATTGTATATGTTGACTGTCTAATGATTAATTTAGCATTGTTAGTTTCCTAAATTTAAGTTTTATATGATTATTACTTTTTATTATTTAAAAAAATTTTTTTTTTTTGTGAGGCAATTGGGGCTAAGTGACTTGCCCAGGGTCACACAGCTAGTAAATGTCAAGTGTCTGAGGCCAGATTTGAACTCAGGTCCTCCTAACTCCAAGGCAGAAGCTCTATCCACTGTGCCACCTAGCTGCCCCTTGATCATTACTTTTTAAATGGAGACTATGTTTAATAAGTGTTGTTATGTTTTTTAAATGGAAATTTCTAGTTATTATTATTAAATGGAAATTCCTAGAGAATAAAAATAAGGACATCATAAGAATATTGAAATGAAAGGTCAAAAGACTGGAAGGCTGCAGGGTCTAGCCTGCAATCCAGTATTTCTGCATGATCCAGTAGCCGAGATAATTCACAAAATACTAATGAGTGAACTTCCCAGCCTTGAATTTCAGAGTATGGTGAGGGCTGGGGAGCCCTGAAGGCTTGGGGCAGGTAGGTGGCACATCAGGTCTGGATTCAGGAGGATTAAATTCAAATCTAGCCTTTAACACTTACTGTGACCCTGGGCAAGTGATTTTACCCCTGTTGCCTCAGTTTCCTCACCTGTAAAGTGAGGATAATAAAACACCGACCTCCCATGTTTGTCATGAGGATTAAATGCGACAATCATTGTAAAGTGCTTAGTAAGTGCCTGGCACATAGTAGGTGCTATATAAATGTAGCTATTATTATTACTAATTACCTACTGCATCATGCAAAAATGTGGGATGCAATGAGTAGGAGATAGTAGGAGAGAATGATTTACATACCCTCCTTCTGAGAAAAAGAATTATTTGGTTAGGAAAGTAGAGGCTATAATGAGAAAAGGAGGACTGACAATAAGGAGATTGAAAAGAATTTTTAAATCAGAAAGTGACAATTCATCTGGCAGAAGGGTCACAGTTAAGCCACCCAAAGCAGAAAGAGATAACTTAGAGAACCCCAAAGTTCATGGGGAAAGGGCAAAGTCAACAGAGTTGGTGATTTGGGCAGATGCCAGGTTATAGAGATTGATTTGCAGGGAAGGTGGGGCACCTGAGGATGAAGATATGGCTAGCTTCTAGAAAGAGATGTATAGCATAGGGATAGGACAGTAGCAGCCTTTTCTGTTCTTGAAATACAGTGGATACTACCACACTTCTACCACTTGATGAGTATAGTACATAAGATGCACAGCTACAGAGCTGCAGAGAGGGATTCCCAATGGGCAGGTGCTATATGGACTAACTCTAAAGGAGCCTCTTCTGTAGCACAGCAGGATAGTCACAAATTATTAATAAAGATTCAAGGCCAAAAATTTACTTAGAATCTGTTGAAATATGGAACTGTGAAGAAAACAGTTCTATGTGTACAGAGGAAAAATCAAGAGAACTGAGATTACAACAGTCTGATGCAAAATAACCACCAGGAAAACAGAAGCAAAAAAGCAAAATTATCTTCTGTTACAGCTGTGGCCTGGATGAATAGGAATAATACATGCACCCAAGAGGAACGCAGGACGTCCGGTGAGAAGCAAAATTTCAAAGACTAAGCACTGAAAAACGGAAATAGAGCCAGTGATGGAGGTTTTCCCAGACTGCAGGGAGTAAGTATAACTTTATCATATGTCTTTGATACATTAATATACCATTAAAACAGAGAGACACAGAGCATAACTACTTTATGCTTTAAATGAGGATTTCATGTTTTTAAAAGGTCAAAATAAAGCACTTTTGGTTTATTATTAGGTTTTTTTGTGTGCAAACTAAGGTTTGCAAAGTGCTTTACACATATAACCTTATTTGATCCTCAAAACAATCATACAATGCCAAGTACTCTGCTATAGACATAAAAAACGCTGCTACAAATAAATGTTTTTATATATATGGAACTCTCCATCTGTCTAGAACCCTGTCTTTAATTTCCTCAAGTTACATGCCCCAAAGTACTCCCATATTTTCTGGAAGTTTCTGGTTTCAAGAAATTAAAATGTATTTGAAAAATGGTCACGATATCCCTTCCCCTCGTGACAGTCTGCCACTGAGTCCATTAAAAAATCAGGACACGTCTGCAGCCCCGCCCTCTTCCGCTCACAGCCAATAGGGCGCCGCAGAGCCAGCCTGCTGTTCGGTGCTGCTTCTCAAGGCCCCAAGCCGGGCGCTGCCAGAAGCAAGCCCCCCGCAAATCCTGTGGCGAAACCCAGCGGTCCAGCGCGCATGTGTGATCGTTCTCGGCTGAGAGTTTTTTTTTTAAATTGATCGATTTAATTCCTCTTTTCTTCCTCGCACCTCCCACCCGTTTGTTTGAACCTTGCGGAAAGGTTCCCCCGTTTCCTCCCCCTTCCCTCGCCCCTCAGGAAAAACAGCGGCTCGTGTGTTCGGTGCGTCAGTCCCCGGATGTGGAGCCTCCGTCCCTCCGCAGCAGCTCACGGCGGGGAGGCCGCGGCGGGGCCGAGCGCGGCGTCGTGCGCGCGGGGGCTGGGAGCGGGGGCGCGTTGGCCGCAGGCGCTCGCTCGACGCTGGGAGGTTCCACCGCCACCGTCGCTAGCGGGGGAGGAGCCGGAGGCGGCAGCAGCGGCTGTGGCTGTTAGGAGCCGGCCCCGGCGCGACGAGGCCGGGGAGAAGAGAGCTCAGCCGCTAAGTTTCCCCTCCGTCGCTCCCGTCTCCTCTGTGGGCGAAGGCTCCCCCTCGGTCGCCCGCCCCCCGCGCTCCCGGCCGGGGGATAGCGTCGTCTCTTGGCGGCTGTCGCTGTAGCCTGGCTCCGGAGCCCGGAGGAAGCGGGGGAGTCTCCGCCCACGCCCCCCTTCCCTCTCGCAGTCCCCCGCCGCCGAGCCGGGAGCTGGGCTCAGGCCCGAGCGGGGGCCGGGGCGGCGGTGGCAGCGGCCGCGGCGGCGGCTGGGGAGCGGGTGCGTTCGCCGAGGTGACCGCGCCACCGCCCCGCTGAGCAACCCCCGCCTCCCCCGGGCTTCGCTGCTGCAGCCGCCGCCGAGCGTCCGGCCTCGGCCCGGCTCCCTCACGGGCCCCCCGGCTGCAGCAGCGGAGCCCCCCGCCCGGGCCCCGATGAGTAACTCCCGGAACAACCGGGTGATGGTGGAAGGGGTCGGGGCTCGGGTGGTCCGGGGCCCGGACTGGAAGTGGGGGAAGCAGGACGGCGGCGAGGGCCATGTGGGCACCGTGCGCAGCTTCGAGAGCCCCGAAGAGGTGGTGGTGGTGTGGGACAACGGCACCGCCGCCAACTATCGCTGCTCCGGGGCCTACGACCTCCGCATCCTGGACAGTGCCCCCACAGGTGAGCCCGAGAGCGGCGGCGGGGCCCGGCGGGGATGGGGGGGGCGGGAGCCACGCGGTGGCCGAGAATGCCCCCCCCCCCGGGGGGGGCGGCTGCGTCCGGGCTCGGACCACACAAAGCTCCTGGAAAGACAGGTGGCCGTGATTTCCCCCTCCTTCCCCCGGGAAGGGGCTGGAGGATGAGGAGCAGGCAGTCTAATGCAAATAAGCTTTTGGAATTAATCAGTGATAACTCGCTGATATGTGAGCGTGTGGAAGGGGGGGCGTTGCTTTACCATATGGCAGACTAGTTTCTGTTAGTCTTGCTGAAGAAGGGAGTAGGCTGAGACCCTGGATTTGCTGGGATAATAGAGCTTTTTTCTGCTTCATCTCGAGGAGTGGCTTCATGGCTGAATAGTTATTGAAAGGTTGTAGAATTGTCTACATGCAGTGTTGGTATCTCAAGAGATGCTGGGGCTGGGGAGGGTGGGGAGGTGGGAATTGAAAAAGTTTTGGAGTTTTGATACGACTTTTTTTTTTTTCTTTGTTTGCTTGTTTTGATATCCCAAGTAGCCTTTTGCGTGGTATTTTTGGTCAGTGTCTTTGTCAACAGAAATAATATTGTTAAATCTGAGAATTAGTGAGGCTGTTTAAAAAAATGCCATTTTAAAAAATTCTGTACTTAACACGACTACCTTTCATATGAGAATGTATTATGCTGACAGGATTTTAATAGTTAACATAATATTTAGAAACTGAGTTTACTTGAAATAATAGCCGTTCTCTTTTCATTGTGTGCTATAACTTTGCCAACCTGTTCTCTAGTAGTCAGAAAAAAAGATAAAATTTACACTTATTTTTCAAAGATTTGAAATTTTTTCAAATTTTGAGAAATTTTTCTCCGCTATTTTTCAAGTAATGAGATTGTTCTAAATTGTAATGTTTAAGTTTTACCAAATAATGAGATTGTTCTAAATTGCAATGCTTAAGTTTTATTCTAAGTCATACAGCAAGCATTTATTAAGTGCTTACTATGTCCCAGGCATTAAACCAAAGAGATAAAATAGTACTGTCATTAAGAAACTCACATTCTAATGGGGGAGACAGCAAGCAAACCACTATGTATAAAGGAGATATACTGAATGTAGGGTAAATTGGAGGTAATCCCAGAGGGAAAACATCAGCATTAAAAGGGACTGAGAAAGTCTTCTTTTCTGCACAAGATGGGATTTTAGCTGAGACTTCAAGGAAGGCGGGGGTATAGTTTGGAATCTTGAAGTGGTGACATATTGTGATCAGCAAGGAATAGATATTTTTAAATTATTCAGATAAACTAATTTTGAGGAAATACAAAATGAAATTATATTTTGATGGTAGCCCAAATTTATGTCCTTACCACAGCTCAGCCATTTGGAGGGACCTGGGATGTAGCTATAATTGTAAGTTTGTAGGGAAATTAAATAACAGCTTAATGCAATGTCATTAAAATATCACGTATTGATGTGCTTTTCTAAACTATAAAGATTATGTATAGCTTTTCTAAGCTGTAAAGATTATGTATAGCACATTTTGTAGTCTGTACTTATATTGGTTATTATAATTATATCTGCCTGAAAACAAGTATTCAGATAGAACCTTACCTGATATTTTTGGATTTTATGGTTCATTTGATTTACAGACTAATTTTGCATATAATTCAGTATTATTTTCTGCAACTGATCCCATTCAGCCCATCCATTCATTTTATTCTATGTCAGTGTTGTTCAGGGATTTTTCTTTTTTAAACACAGAAATTACCAACCTTTACCCCTAGTTTTGCTTGATAATGTGAGAATTTTGGCAAGTCAGAGCACTTTTTATACACACACAGTTCTGAATATTACTATTGGATGTCTTTTTAATTTGATTTAAAAAATAAGTTACTAAGTGCCTACTGAATACAAGGAACTGTCCAAGGTGTTGGGCATACTGCCACCCTTTGCCCCTCCCCCCATGAAAAGAAGTAACAAAACACTGCACTCTAGGAATAAGTGTTCTACTGGAGTGTATAACATGTAACCACTTAAGTAAAATACCTGATAATTTGAGGATTTGAGATAGAGTGCTGGTCTTGGGGAACAGCAAGTAAAATACTTTAATTGCAATGGAGAGTGCTGAAAGGTAGTAATATGAAATAAATCTGAAAAATAAACCAGCATCAGTAGACTATTGACATTTTATTGCAAGTCGTGAGGTTTACAGTGCTGCCCTCAAAGAGCTTGTCATCCTATTTGACATTCATTTATATGATATTATCTTGGAGTTGACTTAATGATTCAATAAAATTTTGTTGGGGGCCTAGGCTGTTGGGTGAAAGATAAAGATAAATAATCCTTGGAGCTCCAGGATCTTACAGTCTAGGGGAGATATACTATACAAATGAGAATGTGAGTATCAGAGGGTTGCACATATGTGCTAGAAGGTTTCAGAGGACGTTAATACTTCTTCCCGGGGGCAAAAACACACACAAAATAATTTTAAATATTTTGCAGTATTTTATGACAGTCATCCTTTGATTATTTTAAGGATCTGTGCTGTCATTTCATTTCTGTGATTACACCCTCTCATTACAGATCACAGTCTTTATATGCCTCCCTCATCTTGTGAGACAGTCATACTCATATTAACATAATAACATGAGGAGAAAGACAGAAAAGGGATTCAAGATAGGCAGGTAATAGAAAAGCCTGATGTTGTTAGCATTTGGTGTAGTTGATTACCCACTCTTCTTATAACCATTCTTCATTAGTGGTGGATCCTTTAGAAATCACTTTCAACTCTAGAAGTGGGAGGCAACATCTACTAGATGTAAAACTAAAGTTGCTTATGGTGACTCATTAATTTTCCCCTTGCTCACACAAAGCTGTAGACTTTGAAGTGTGTTCTTTGAATTTTATATATAAGATTGCCCATATTTTGCATTTTTTTGTATGTTTAGTCATTTTTCAGTCGTATTTGACTTCGTGTTCCCTTTTGGGGTTTTCTTGGCAAAGATACTGGAGTGTTTTGATATTTCTTTCTCCAGCTCATTTTTACAGATGAGGAACTGAGGCAAACAGGGGTAAGTGACTTTTCTAGAGTCACAAAGCTTAGTAAGTGTCTGAGGCTGGACTTGAACTCAGGAAGATAGTGTTCTTGACTTCGGCACTCTATCCATTGTGCCACCTAGGACTGCTGGTTTGAATTTTTTTAGGATGCTCCTATGAATAGGTGCTACTATGCATCTTCTTTGGAATTCTGTTTTATTAATTGCTTAATTGCTCCTTGCTTAGGAGTTGTATTTCTTCTCCATAATTTGTAAGCAGACTACCTTAATTTTTTAAAATTCAGTTTTATTTTTAATTCTGAGTTATCTCCCTCTCTCATTCCCCTCCTCTATTGAGAAGGTAAGTAAAACAAAACCTGTTACATAGGCTTATAATCAAACAAAACAGCTCCCACATTAAATATGTAAAAAAATAATGCTTCATTTTACACCCTGAGTATATCACCTCTCCATGTGGAGGTGGTTAGCAGATTTCATCATGGGTCCTTGGGGAACTATGGTTGCTTCCATTTTGTCGATCAGAGCACCCAAGTCTTTCAAAGTTGTTTGTCTGTTGTATTGTATAAATTGTTCTGGTTCTACTCAGTTCACTTTGCATCAGGTCAGACAAGTCCTCGAATTTTTCTAAAACCATTCCTCTTATCATTTCTTACAGCACAATTCCATCACGTACATAAACTGCAACTTATTCAACAATTCTCCAATACCCTCTCAGTTTGCAGTTCTTTACCACCATGAAAAGAATTTCTATAAATATTTTTGTCCATATGAGACCTTTCATTGATCTCTTTGGGGTAAAGACCTAGTAGTGGTATTGATGGGTCAAAGACTATGTACAATTCGGTAGCTTTTTGGACATATTGTAGTTCCAAATTGCTTTCTAGAATGGCTAGATCAGTTAATAGCTCCACCTATAGTGCACCTTAATGTACCTGCTTTCTGATAGCCCTTCCAGTATTAATCATTTTCCTTTTTTAATCAATTTAGCCAATCTGGTGGGTGTGGGAGGTGGTATTTCAGAATTGTTTTAATTTGCGTTTCTCTAATTATTGGTGATTGATAATTTTTTTTAATGTGACTATTGATAACTTGGACTTTTCATCTGAAAACTTTCTATCTATATATATCCTTTGACCCTTTATCACTTGGTGAATGACTCTTATAAATTTTAATCAGTTAAAGATTAGAAATAAGAACTTTATCAGAGAAACTTGCTACTAGGATTTTTTTACTCCATAATTTCCCACTTCTCTTCCAACTTTAGTTGTATTGTTTTTGTTTGTCTAAAAACTTTCTAATTTTATCTAATCAAAATTGTTCATTTTACCTCCTTTGAACCTTTCTGTCTCTTGCTAGGTCATGAACTCTTCCTCATCCACAGATCTAACAGGCAGTTTCTTCATTGCTTCTTTGATTTGTTTATGATGTCACCCTTTTGTTTATAGCATGTATCATTTAGCTCAGATTGGTATGTATGTTGTGAGATGTTGGTCTGTACCAAGTTTCTGCTACACTGCTTTCTAGTTTTCCCAGCAGTTTTTGTCAGATAGTTCTTGCCCCAGTAACTGGCGTCTTTGGATTTATCAAACACTAAGTTACTATGCTGATTTGTCTCTACAGTGTGTGCCTAATCTGTTCCACTGATCAATCTATCTCTTACCCAGTACCATTTTTTTAAATGATTGTGGCTTTGTAGTATAGTTTGTGATCTAGTATTGCCAAGCTCACCCTTTTCCCCCTTTTTTCCACTTAATTTCCTTCATATTTTTGACCTTTGCTTCCTTTAAAAATCATTTTTCTAGCTCTCTAAAGTAATCCTTTGGTAGTTTGATTAATATGGCACTTAATAAGTAGATTAATTTAGGTTGCATTGTTATTTTTGTTATATTTGCTAGGCTTCCTTTTAAACAACTAATATTTCTCCAGTTATTTAGATC